GACGCAGTCCTCCGTCCTTCTTGGGAACTATGAAGCAGCCCCTTGGTAGCTCCCTGAAGCGGAGGACTGCCAGGGAAACTCGCCGGCGACCCACGGTGTGTGAGCCCGATCGTTTTCCAGCTGCAACCCCTCGAGGCGGGCAGACTGGTGAGAGCTGGCTGGCGGTTAGCGTGTCCCGAGCGCCAAGACGGCGGGAAAACAGCGCCTGTTGCCTGAGCCGCCACAAGGGAGGGGACCTCGGTCAGCTTCTCGGGGGGCTGTGGGCGAGAGCACCGCCTCGCGTCCCGGTTTTGTTGAGGGGGACTACGGGAAGAGACGCTTCGCTTCTGGCTCAGGCGGTAGGAGCTAGACGAGGGCTGAGCCCGTCTCTCTTCATCCGGGGGAGATATTGCTGAAACCTGCTGATGACAGCATCCACCGCCTCAACAAACAGGCCAGTAGGAGAGAGGGGCACATCCAGGAGAAAAGCCTTCTCCTTCCCCTGGATGCCCGAGAGGTTGAGCCACAGATGGCGCTCCGTAGCCACCAATGCTGCCATGGAGCAGCCAATGCTTGGTAACACGGAGCGTTTAAGTCCGTAGCTCTACGGAGCTCAGTCAGGTCCTCCTCAGGACCTCCCCCTAGGTCATAGTCTTGAGAAGATCGGCCTGGTACGCCTGCAAGATGGCCATAGTGTGCAGTCTTGCACCAGCTCGACCCGCTGCCATGTAGGCCTTGCCCACCAAAGCGGATGTTTCGTCCGACACAGCTTGGTGGGGAGCGCCGACATCTGAAGGAACGAAGCGAGGGTGGGAGAAAGATAGCTCACGAGCGCTTCCTCCCCCCAAGGCATCGTTTCGTAGCCGTGCTGCTTAGTTTCTGTGATGTTGCTGTAGTCCAGCAGAGGGGACACAGTCAGCCGTGCAGAGCAGCTTTTTTTTTTTTTTTTTGGTCTGTTCCATGATTTACATAACTCATTGTGCAAATCAGGAAAGAACACGGGGGTGGCGCTCGGGCTGCAGAAAAGCTCATAGAGGTTACAGCCGGCCCGCGGTTCCTGCCCCGCCTCTCATAGGCTGATGACGTCGGCCCGGCTCCCGGAAGTCATCCTCCTTGATGCTACGCACGTCTAGCTCCTCAGAATCAGACTGTGCAAGCCTCTCCAAACTCATACCTTGGGCGGGAGAAGCCGAAAAGCGGACTCCCGAACGAAGAAGAGAGGAGGCGGAGTCAGCAGACGAGGAACGGGAAAAAGCCTTGGCAGTCCCGATGTCCTCGGAGATGTAGCGCTGGGCGCCCCATGACCGAAGCCGCCGCGCCGCCTCAGCAACCGCCGGGCGTTGAGCCACGGGGAGAGCGCATCCGGCCGTCTTCAGAAAAGAGAGCCACACGGGACCTAAGCACCCTCAGGGGCAGGGCCTCGCGATGGCCGCAAGCAGCCCCCTCGAGAGCTGCCTGGGCATGCGGCATCCCCAGACAGAAAACACACAGGGCGTGAGTGTCCCCAGCCGTGATGTAGCGCGGGCATGGAAAGACACACTGCCTGAACTGCTCACCAGCCATCTCTTCTGCTTCTCCTTCCAGGTAATTTCGTCTTGTGGTAGCTTTCTTCTGAGTAGTCTCAAACATGCCAGAGTGCCTGCTGAATAGAAAACAGCTAATGTGTCCGGTGTGCCGGCGTGCTTAAATACGCCTCCAGTTACGCCGTCACACGCTACTGTTCAAGCAACGCCAATAGGATTGGAGTAGTTTCATTCATGATTGCAGCCCTGCCACGCCCAGAGGCGTTCCCATAGTGTCGTCACTGATGCAGTTCGAGTTCCCTCCAAGGGGAACTCTCCATTTGCCTAAGCCAAGACACTGTTGCCCGGTTACAGTTAGTCCAAAACTCTGCCGCAAGATTACTCTCTAAGACCTCATATCGCTCTCACAGCACCCCAATTCTGATGTCACTGCACTGGCTTACAATTAAATCCAGGATATAATTCAAGATTATCCTCTTCATCTGTAAGGTGTTGAATAATCTTGCTCTAGAGTACTTAAGTGAACTACTTAAAGAGGTGGTATTATGCTCATTTTCAGGTTCAAAATCCTTGAAAAAAATATGGCGTTTTTTGAAAATTAAACCATGTAAACCTGTTCTGGTTTACATGGTTTAATTTTGGTTTTAAAATGCAGCTCTTCTTTTCACCCTGTGTTGAAGGCTTCGTTTTATCTATGGAGTGATACATCATGTCTCTAAATGAGAGCTGCACATGCGCAATTCCTAGTTAAGGACTATTAGCCAATCAGAAGCAGAGAAGGTCGGGTCAGAGAGAAACCAGTAAACAGCTTCGGTTCAGCAGTACAAGTTGCCGACCAGCTTGACAACATAGACTGGAGCAAGAGTTTCAGAGTGATGAGTTATTTCTCTGTAACAAAAGTATCTTTCATCCATAAAGTTTTACCTGAACTCTGTCTCTACATCACAGTAACAACTTTACACAGTAAACCTATTACAAGCACAAAAAAGGTACATAACTCAATAAAGGAGAGGGAAAAAAGCCAAAAAGCATAATACCACCTCTTTAAGCCTTATACATCTGATATACATCTGTAGACACTGTGCAGTGTCTGCGGGTTGTAATGCTTCAAGGTTCAAACCTTTTATCCTTGTAAATGAGGCCTTGAACTGTGTTGTTTTTGTTGTTTTTGCTTTTATTTTGCTACGTCTGCTGCTGTAATGTTACTTTTAACTTTCTGTCAAACACTTTGTAACCTAGGTTTTGAAAAGAGCTATCTATATAAAATTTTACTTTACTTATTTTCTTTTAATTCTCAGTTGAATGAATAGTACATTCACTCAAGGACCACCACGGTAAGAAACCTTTAGGGACTGTGGTAAAATAAACAAGGAGACATATAAATAACATAACATTTATGATAAAATATGACTTGATAAAATGAGTGCACTCTGTGAATTTGCAGTTTGCTGAGATTCTAAAAAGTATTTGATACATGTTAAACACCTTCATTGTTTCTCAGTTAATCATGTACATGTGTTTAGTGACCTTTAAGGGCTTCAAAACCCTTTTTGAAGGGTTTGACCCAACAATACTAATGACTTGCTCACATGGCCTTTGGGGAATCTACTGTGACTCTAAAGTCATCTATCACTGAATGTCAATAGAGACACACATGGGAGAGTGAAAAAAGGGAGTTATCGCTAATCTATTATTCAAAAACAGATGTTCTCAAGATAATAAGAAATGTAAGAGAGAAAGAGAAAAAATAGACAAAGAAAAATAACATATATGGCTTCAATAAATGCTGCAGAGAGAGGAAATAGTTATAGGTCATTTTCATCTTCTAATAACAAAAACTTTAAATGCATTAAGTTTGCTTAGATGAATGACTGACTACCGTTTGCTTTCTCATTATGTAGGTTTTGAGATGAATTGTGTACTTAAATGAGGAGCTTGTTTTGGGCTTCATGCTCTTCCCAACCACTGTTCCCATGTTTGAAAAGTACAGCATATAAATTAAAGGAACATTTCATTCTTTTTCAACAAAGTTTGTGCAATCAATCCTATAATTTAAAATTTTTGAAGAAGCATGGAGAGTCTGCTAAACACAGCTTCACAACAGGATCCTTTGGTTCAATCATCACAAGCCTTACCCTTCCCTTCATGCCTCATTCCTCTACCATTTTGTTACACTCTGTGTACTGAGGCTAAAACAGACGTGGCAGGCCATGATAATGAAATGACTCACACAATGTATTGCAGTGCTGTGTTAGATTATCACCCACCGGCTGACTGAGCTTTTGAACTTACACAATAGCAAAAGTAAAGTGGCACATAAAAAAGCTTGAACTCTTGTGAGTAATATGTTTTTAAAGCCAAATGGCAAAAGCTACGCAATTAAATTCAAACATTAAATTTTAGAATTAAAACTCCTCAAAATGGTGTTTTTAGATCTATGAGATTGTTGGTGTTATTATTAAGTCAATGAAAAATGGTTAGGGTCAAACGAGTCTGCAGATGCAAGCAAGCACATACATTTTTTTTAAACACTGTGGAATGACACATTTTGCTAAACAGATTTTCTGCTGTGGGAGAAAAAGAAAAATGTGCAAAATGAGCACATTCATTTTTTTTCTTTTGTATCTTGGGAAATCAGATATCTTGAGTTAGAATGTGAGTTATGAAAGTTTTCCACACACAACAAATGCGTCCAAGATGGTCTCTAAGAATGGTATGTAAGTGGAGTAACAAACCGCACTGCGACCAATTAAATCCAGGTGTCAATTCCAAGCATGCTCTGAAGGTGTGATGGACGTCCACCAACAAATGGGAGAAACATTTGGCCATTTATCTCCCCCACCCCCTTCCTCAACTGCGGCTATCAGATAAGTGGAACACCACCTTGGGTCCATTTTGTTCATTTGTCTGGATTTGTATTGAGAAGTATATAACACAGAGGGCAATCGCAGAGTTTGTGGAGAAGAAAAATGTGGGAGTACAAGAATGTAAAGTAGAATGATTCTTAACAAAGACATATGGAATGGATTTGATTTAACCTACAGTTACATGTCTGTACACTGACTGTATTTTCTATCTGGTGTTGTATTTTTTATTTATTTGATTCTATTTTATTTTATTTCTTTGACTGTGACGCACTTTGTGACTCGTGTCTGTGAAAATGTTGCCACTTTGCTTACAATAAAGAAGAAATGTTTGCGTCAAGTGTTATGCAAGTCTACTCTGGCCGTCTCATAACCTTTTGTTCAGATTTTCCAAAGCCTTATTCAGAGCTCAAGAGGTGCAGCTGAAATTCTTCTTCTTCTTAACCAGCGTCTGGGTTAAATGGCTGCCAGAGATCGTTTTCACATTTTTCCACACATAGCTTCTCCTACTCTTTGAGATTTTTCCTCAAACAGCCAATCCAGCTTTAGTTTTGCTTGCACGCACTTTGGGGTGGTTGTTTAGAGGACAATTACCAGAATGCACTAGAAGGGGGTGGTTTGTAAAGTTAATAAACGGTAAAAAAAAAAAATGTTAAGGTAATATTAACAGCATACATTTCTTTACCTTTTTTTTGGTCTAATATTACTGTTCTTTGTTGCACCTGCTCTTGGTTAGGTAAAAGCATTTTTTTTCTGCTTTACCAGACATTTACACGGATGACATCTTCAATTTATATGACGACCTGACTCCAGTCTGCTGAAGAAACCCCCCCTCCCTTTTTCCCTCTCTGTCTCTCCATCTACCCCTCTCTCTCTCTCCTCCCCCTCTCTCCTTCTTTCCTTTTGTGTGTTTTTCTCCAGAGACTACCAGTTTTTGAACAACACTGTTCTTACCTACTGGCCCTCCAGCCCACGCACACGAAGAGAGAGAACCCCAGGTAAGCTTGCATATGGAGGCATGGATTTGTGATTTCCTGTTTGATTATCCACTTTATTTCTGTTTTCCGGATGGGATTATCAGCTGTCACTGCTAGGCTTTTGGGCAGTGGCTAGTGCTGCAACAGAGAAGGCAGGAGTACCAGTGCATAAGAACAAAATTAAGTGATACAAGATGATTTGCACATTGTTTCAGGAAAACCACCAGTGTATTAGCCTAGATGATACATGTTTATATAGATCTACAGTGTATTCTGGGACTCTTTCTTAGATTTCAGTGACTTTAGACTTTGGAAAACATTATACTGCACTTGGATCCAGTTTCTGTCTGCATTTTTCATGGGTCTGGAATTAATCATTCTGGTTTTGCATTGGCTGAAGGGTTGATTTTTTACAATCGTTATACCTAAACTAGCTATAGCTGTTTTTAGTTACTTGTTCTATGTGCTTGCTTAATTATTTATAAAACTAACAAAGGAAATCATTTCTATTTATGTTTCACACATATGCAGACGATTGGTGTAATATTTATGTACGTACATAAATTGTGTAGTCTACTCTAATCTGTGTTGCATTATTGCTCCCATCACTGGTTTATGTAGAAATGTATCAAACTGATTGATGAAGTGGTGCTGGAAGCAATGCAGTTTGTTTCAAACTACAGCTTTAATGATGTGGCTCGACACAGATAATTGAATCAAGGAATCTGGGACTCGTTGGTCTTCAACTGGTTGAACTGAACTCTTGACCGATTATATAATAGTCTATAATACTGTGGGGAGTGGGTGTGGCAATATGGTATATGTGTGTGTGCGTGTGTTGAGGTGGGGGGGGGTCGTTTTTGTTTAATTTTTATTTTGTCCTTTGATTTTCTTTATTTTATTAATAAATCCTTGATGCATGATTGATCTGAACGTTGAACTGAACTGAGTTATAATTTTGCCACCAGAATTCTAACTGTGACACAGGCTGTAAGAAAACAAATCAATTTATATTTCATGTCTGTAAAAAGTTATTAGTTTACTCTTGATCCCTCTAACCTTTCTATCTTATCCCCTGCCTCCCCTGTCCTTCTGTCTGCTGGATCCCCAGAAGCCATGTTTCCTTTCCGTCTACCACTGTTGGCCATATTGGTCAGCGTCGCCCTGTGCCAGTATTATGACTACGACTACCAGCCGCTAGGTTCCATTCTAGGACCCTCAGGGCCCAACTGTAATCAAGAATGCGATTGTCCAATCATCTTCCCCAGTGCCATGTATTGTGACAGCCGTAAGCTCAAGTTTGTTCCCATAGTCCCAACAGGGATCAAGTACCTGTACCTCCAGAACAACCAAATAGAAGAGATCAAGGCAGGTGTATTTGATAATGTTACTGATTCACTTCGCTGGCTGGTACTTGACGACAACCAGCTTACCAATGCTAAGATCGCAAAGGGCACAATCGACAAACTCACAGCCCTGGAGAAGCTGTTCTTCAGCAACAATAACCTAACAGAGCCAGTTATTCCTCCCTCAAAGTCCCTTGATGAGCTTAAGATGATGCACAACAAGTTGTCCAAGTTCCCCTCGGGACTTCTTACAGACAAGGAGAATTTGACCTCCATCAACGTTCAGCACAATCAGCTCACCTCTGAAGCCATAGCGGGGGCATTCAAAGGGCCGAAGAAGCTGCTGTCCCTGGATGTGAGCCACAACAAGCTGAAGAAGCTGCCAGCCGGAGTCCCAAGTTCACTGGAAATCCTCTATGCTGACTACAACGACATTGACAGTGTCGGAGCAGGATACCTGAACAAGCTGCCCTCACTGCAGTACCTGAGGATCTCCCACAACAAGCTGGTGGACTCCGGGCTCCCTGCTGGAGTGTTCAATGTTACATCGCTGGTGGAGCTGGACCTGTCTTTCAACAAACTGCAGTCCATCCCTGAGATCAACGAGCAGCTGGAGCAACTCTACCTTCAGGCCAACGAGATCAACAGTGAGTGGCAACTGTCAATCTTTACTTATTGGTATTTTATGATACACTCTGAAAATTATCTTATCTGAAAAATCTTAAAATTATGATTACATTTAGCATGTTTCACCAAAACACAGAAAGTATCCCTTAGAAAAGTATTTGCAAAGTCTACTTTTTAAAATATTTTAAATTGTGTATTGTTTGCATCCATGTTTGCTAGCTTACAGTCTTCTTCTTTCACTGCCTATGCAGGGACACTGCCATGCTTCTATGTCTGTTATCGCCACTAGACCAGCATGAAACCACATGCACCTAAAAACATTGCCCCATAGCATCACTAGTGGTCAAAAACTCCACAGAGTACCTTTGATCCCCAGTATATGGGGTTGAAAGGTATTTGATACATTTTGAGTGGTCTTTCTACCAATTTACATACATTTCCCTGTATTTTTGATTCTCTGCAGAGTTTGACCTGGCAAGTTTCTGCAAGTACGTTGGACCCCTCAACTATTCCCGTCTGAAGCATCTGCGTCTGGATGCCAACAACATCACACACAGCAGCATGCCCCCTGAGTCTTCCAACTGCCTGCGTCAAGCATCAGATATCATGTTTGAATAAGGACCTCCCCCAAATCTATGACCTTTCCATGACCCCCTTATCTACCACCATTGCACAACTCACCCCAAAGCCTTCTGGAAATAAATGGCTTAATATCTCTCCTTTCATAGTACTCACATGTCCTTGCACATAAGTAGTATGCAAATTTGGGGTACTGTAATGGCATCTTCATCAATTCAATATATATCTTGAGTAAATCAAGAGCTGGGCAAATTTGAAATACAATAGATGGCAAGTCAAGCTATCGACAATTATGCAAATCTTATTGCAATATGTTTTGCAAAATAACATAACAATATACAATATAACATGAAATCACATTGTTAAATTTATGAAGCACCAAAAAGTGTTAATATTTGGCTCTAGATATGAATGAATATTCTCATTGTTGAAATAAACATGAAGCAAAAAATAGAGGAAGAAAAAAAAAAAAAAAATATATATATATATATATATATATATATATATATATAAAAAAGGAGAATGACCAAAAGTTCTATGAATAAAAAATTCATTCATAGAAAAACACACACTTTAAACATTCCAAATGTCCATTTGATTTTATTGAATACAGACACAATGGGGTAAACAAGGGCTCCAATGTCTCAATTCAATTATCATTTTGTTGTCTGTCTTATGTTCCTGTGTTTAGCATGTATAATATAATTTGGGTACAATAATCCATTGCTGTGCAAAGGACCAGCAAATAAAGACTTTCAGTGTATAATGCCTGGTGTGAGAGATGATGAACAAATGTAAAAAAGCAGTTACACAGCAGTCACATTTTCAACATCTTGAATGAATTAAAGTGGTTTTAAGGAAAATACCAGTGTCATTCACTCGTATCTGCCATTGCCTGCCTTCTTCACATACAATGGCTTGAAGCACGATGTGCCACTGACTGACTGAAAATGTATATACTCAGATAAGAAATTTCCATATCTTCTCAGAAATAGCTTCCCAACAAATAAGCAAGACGTATATGTTTTTGAAGTACTTGATGTTAAAAACAAGAATAAAAGGCACGTGATTAAAAGACAGAGGTATTATCCTTGAAATTTCTTTGCTCAGTTAAACCTTGAAATGATAGGATGATGTCTTCTTGAAATCACAAGTCACAATGTTTTACTTTACCTAATTCCTAGCTGTCCACTGTCATGTGCATTCCTGATTTGTATACAACATATGCATTACTTGCATGCAACCAATGGTACCATTCTTTGATAATAAACTACAGCTTTTGCAGTTAAGGTGCTTTCATTGTTACGTTGTTGTTTACCATGTTTGATAAATACTTTTTACCAATACGAAGTCAACTCGGCAGCAGTGTCATGTTAATTAGAATATCACATTTTGTTTGGGTAATTTTTCATTTCATCATGATTTCTTTTGTGGACTCAGTAACTGCTCTTGGATTTACTGTGAGGAAACCAAACACAGTTGAATAAACTATATTTCCAACATTTTTGTATGATATCGCTTTTTAAACCTGCTGTAATTAATTTATGGCATGTATGGAAACAAACTGATAAAGCCAGCTTATCTGACTCAGCATAAATATAAGTGTAGCAGGATTAAGGATTGCTTTCAAGATTGCTGACAGGAAAATTGTGCATTTTATTTAATTTACCACATTTTAACAAGGCATACTTTATAATGGCTTATCATTTGTAACTAAGGTTTTATTAATTATTAGTAGATCCTATATTAGTTCTTTATAAATCCATAGTTAGCCACCAATGAAGACAACTTTGGTGTTGCCAAATTGTAAAAAATAAAAATAAAACACTGGTGTAATAAACCATTACATACAGTGTTTATAAAGTATGCCTTATTTTAAAGTAGTACTTGTTAAAGTATGCTGTAAATGAAGTAACCTACTTTGGGCATTCACTGCAAATCTTTGCACTGACGTCACCCTAGGATACTAAGAATCGTATTGCTCTATACTGGTTCAAATCATACATTATAAAAATTAGAAACATATTTTAAAGTCTGTTTTTTACAACCAAGCTGAAGCCAACTGAAAAGAGCACACAAACAGAACAACATAAAATCTACTGTCAGTCTTGTCCACAGAGATATTACACAATATCAACCAGTATCAGATTTCACCTGAGCATTACGACATGATTAGTTGCACATTACTACTTACTCTGTGGAGTGAGCTGGCTTTTTTGGCAGCTAAGATCTTCCTTTCTGGCCTAAATCTTTGGTATGAAGTCATAATGTTTCCTGAGATTTACAAACGGGAAAAAAAACAGTTTTGAAGATGAATGAAAGATTCATATATTTATTCTTGTTGGTGTGTTTCATACATATTGTTGACATTCATGGCCCAAAAGTTCAAGGAGGCGTACATTGTGTTCTTCATCTGCACTGTATCCTATGTGTCTCAAGTCATTAATTAACTAGTGAAATAGAGAACCTATCATCTCTCTTCTGTCCTACTTTTCAATGTACTGTAGTTGCAGAGTGAAGCAAAAACTGCTGGTCCTGGAGGGATGCAGGGGTTGCAGGGTTTTGCTTAATACTGCAGCTTTAAGATATTTTCTGTGTAAATCTACCCTTCCAACTGTCTCAGACAGAAACCACAAATGTCCCATGATGGTTTAAAAGTATTTTATTTTCTCAGTAAAGCTTCCCTGTGGAGCTTCAATACAAACAGTTAAAGTTTCCTCAAGATAGCACTGTCCTAGTATACTGTTTCCACAGGATAAATTTTAGGCTGCATATTTGGCCTGTCAGGGGACCCTCTGTGCGCTCGTTGCCACCACCTGTGATCAAACGTGATAAAATTGTTGTCATTTAGCTAAAGATTTCAAGAATGGTTCATGCACGTTCATCAAAATGTTTTGCATCAGCATGGCTATTTTCCTGCAGAAAAAACCAAAGCTAAACATTTTTGCTCCACTGTTTGTTTTGCATCTCAATAGGTCACTTCGAAACACTAAGAGAGGAATAAGGAATCTAGGGAATTCTGTTCATGTTTTTCACCCATTCATGTGGGTGTCAGGGTCTTAGTCTTGTGATTAGAGGAGTCTGAAAAATTTCATGGTGTGCACAAAACAATGAAATCAAAAGGATACCATCCAATTTACGAGTAAGTAGGCTGAATAAATCTTTATCCATTGACAGATGTGGATTAGAGACGATACTGCTGTCCCATGTCTGTTAGTACACTTAGCAGTTAATGTACAATCTGTATTTTGAATATTTGTAATCTTTATGAACATTTCACACTTATCCATAAAGCAGCTATACACAGCAAATTGGAGATTGTGTGTTGTGGATTTAACTGCAGCTCAAAACAAGCTATTGAGTGTTGTATTATTTAGCCACTAAATTGGACCAAATTGTGCCCACCTCATCGAGAAACAATCTTGATACTGTCAACGCCTAAAAATCTGCTATTCATTATCAGTTAATGTGTTCCAAAGAGAATCAGTGTCCATAAAGTCTGGACGCCACAGCAGACCATTCTCAAAATGCACAAGTTGTGTTCTTTTTGGAATCGTAAGATTTGACATAATGCAAATTATAGTCTGTTGCATCTTTTGCTCTCATCCATGCCTTCATTATATATAGCAAAAAACAATAAAGACAGATAACTGTCATCACAACTGGAGAAAAGAAAAAAACATGTTCCCTTGAAACTATACTTTATAATTTACACACTGACACCATGGATAATAATGTTTCATAGTCATTGTCTTTGAGTGTGTATTTGACAGTATCAATTGTACTTTTGCAGAGCAGTGAACTAACTGTAACAACGCCAAAAATCCTGGCTGATGTGCACCACATGTGCCGGAGCTACTAGTTCCTTGTTAGAACAGACACGTTTTAAAGCTAGGTTTGTTGATTAGATACATGGCATTCATAGTTATTATGTAAATGGTTCCCAGATGTCACATTTGATTCCTGCTAGGTGTTTGTAAGTAGACCCAGCTGCAACATTCGGTTATAATTAAAATGTGACCCACTCATGTGAATAAAAGTCATTAGTAGTCTATAAGTAGGTCCTGGGAGGTAATTGAAATACCAAACACTACCCTATGTCATCCAATACAAGTCAGGTAAGTATTCACTCACTACCACTCATGCCACTAACATTACAACATGTAACATGTTTGTTTAAACAGCTTTTTTCACATTTCACATGTTTTTATATGGTCATTTGTACCGACTCCCAATCTAGGTCAATTTCCTCCTCTTCCTCCTGAGTTGCCCTTATTTAAATCCTTAGTGGAGCTCTGGCGGCAGTGTCTAGACAATAAAGTCCTTTATAAAGCCTTAAGCTTCACATCCTCCTGCTTGAGACTGTAAGTGAAAGCATAATCATCTGTTGCAGGCTGGTAGCCCAACTCCAAAGATCATCATTGAGTCCAGACCATCTCCAGCTGTTCTATTTTCTAGTTTTATTTCACATTCTGTGTCCATCCAATGTCACCCTGATCTAGTCTCTAACTTTGCTCTAAAGATTTTCACTCAATTCACACTTTTCATTTCTCTCCTAATTGCTGTTGGATATTTCCCTTCCCTCTCTTATTACAAGCTCTCCCCCCATCTCTTGTAAATGTCTCTTTTTTTCCCCTTTGTCCCTAAAACTACAAGACATGGGCTCCGGATGTCCCATCAGACACGCATATAGCTGAGCTGAGAAACAGGGCAAGAAGAGCAGGAGTGACAGAAGGAAAAATACTGACAATGTTCCAAGGTTCTTCTTTGCAGTGAAAGTAAATTTGTGTCCTGCTCTTAATATCAAATAAAAGTCACAGTAATAAATGAATAAATTTGTTGAGCAGTAATGACCAAGTAACACCAACTTATGACTTTCTCACCAACTTCCACTGAGATGAAGGTTTGATTCCAGATAGCATGAACCTATGTGAAGATCTGATTCAACAGTGATATGAACAATAACAAGGATCATGTGTATAGGTAAGTGGATGTTCAAAATTTGATGGCACTTGTAAATTCATCATCTGGAGTACCATGAATGTCTGTACCAAAATTCACGCCAATCCTTCCAGTTGATTTTGAGACTGGACCAAAGTGGTGGGCCGACCTTGTCAGTCAAGGTTGCATTGTTGGTTTAACATACACACCAACATTGCCATCACTCAAGCAATGTTAGGCTGGAAAACAATGAGGAAAAACAACAAAACAGGAGTGCCCTTGCAGATATCCTTCAACTACAAAAGAAATCTTGGAAAAACAGGAGACAAGGCAGGTATTCTTACAGTTTTAATGTGCACATATGTAGTTTGATTTAGCACTTCGTGTTTGTGTTTGGATGTCTTTGGATAAATATTGGCAAACATCAAACTAAAAATGCACACAAATACTAGCCGGATAAATGGTTGTCTATTGCGCCAGGTTTACTGGAATTACAGCTTTCCATGATATCTTACCTCTAGCCTCTAGAAACATCATAAAGTTTAACATTAACTTCCAAAGAAGTGGTTAACTGTAATTGTGGTCTGGGGCTACTGCTCTACCACAATAGACAGTGCTGTATTGTGAAGGTGTTTCTGGCAATGACCCCACATAAAAATACTCTATACTGACGTCAGTAAATAATAAATTATCAGTGATAGACATGATGGAAAAAACTACAAAAAGAACACTTGGGTTGTAAAAAAAAAAAAAAAAAAAAAAAAAGGGCATTTTGCTGTAAAAACTTGGGTGTGAATGTCTGAGTGCAAACCATTGTAAGCCCCTCTCTAACCTCACCTGACAGCCTAGTAAACACACCCCAAGGCCTGTGAGCTGGAATGACCCATAAATGCACCAATCCACCAGAGTAATAGGCAAAGAGCAAATCCTCCATTGCAAACCAAATGGTTAAGTTTGGGCAGAGTGACAGCAATTTAACCCTCAACACCACACTGATGACTTCAATTTCTACCACAAAAAAAGACAAACAAAAGAGGCGGAAAAAACTGCTGGGCTGGCACAAAAGTAGGGAACACAAATTCTGAAAGGACATCCCAACTCCCACAGTCATCCTCCCACCAACAACACATGCTCGATCCACTTTGTTCAGCCGGTGCATGTCCAAGGTGCTGTCTTGGGGGAATCAAACTAACAACAATACAAGTCTAACCGGGCTGGCTTGCAGCACTTACCACATCACATCCACTGACACAGCAGACAATCATCAAAGATAATCATTGGAAAAGCAGAGGAACCAAACCTCACCTGGCTGCATGCAGACCACTCACACCAGTTGGAGAAGCAGGTACAGATGATTTATCATTCTTAAGTAATAAAAAGTTTGAGAGAGGAGGAGTGAAAGTCTTGAACAAAGGTGTAGTGTATTTTTCGGACGGTTTACATCTGGTTCAGTTCATGTTGACATTTGATGTGGTGCACTATGCCACAAAGGTAATATGTATAAGTGGTGAAGTAACCTTGCAAATAATAAGAGGGCTTTGAAAGTGTTCTGATATAAATGTCTCAGTTGTTTCATGCAGTTTTGTTCCAGTTTTTGTTTCAGTCAATTTATTATATGAGTTATCTAGTATATTAAGTATAAGTACTTAATGTTAATGCTTAATGTCAGGATCACGATATAGTGTTGATTGATTGATGGGGATTTTTATAATCAATCAGTTTACAACAGTTCTGCAATTAAGCTTACACCTGGAAATTAATGAACTAAGATAAACCATTGTGGCAAATGACACACTTTTACTGCTAAACCTGTTTTTTCCACACAATGATTATCCATGAACACAGTTATTTTGAACACAGTTATTTTGTCAGCTCTGGATGGAGTAAGCCATGCAAACTCTTCCAAATGTTTGAAAGTCATGAAGTGGATTTTAGCAAAGCTATCAACGGGAAACAATCCCACAAAACCCATGCAGTGCAAATACAACCCGTTTTGTAATTAACATAGCTGGCTCAGAAACAAAGCTCCTGGCAGGAAATTAGCATTATCATATTCCTCTGCATGTGTTTCTCCTTAGTCTGTCAGGAAGATTGTAGACAACATTTGTTTTGAGTAATATATGTTCCATTTTTCAGAGATCTGAGAAGCCCTGACTCACCAACAGTTTATAAATTTAATTGTAAATCCTGACACACATCAGAAATGACTATCGTGTTGTAATGACGATGGAAGGGAAACAAGCTGTTGTGTGTGCGAGTCAGTTTTAGACTATGTAACTATGATTCAATCTTTACACATCATTAATTGGATCTTTAAATACAATTAAATGCAATTAAAATAAATGAGTAGGATTTGCCATTTGCAGTTTGTAAACACAACATTTCAAGTTGGCCCAACCTCAACGACAACAGAAGTGCTTGCTGTGTCAGTTCTTCACTGTTGGGAAAAAGAACACAGTAACAGTAATTTAAGCTCTCGTATACATACCAGCTCATTACAGACACTAGCACTGAGTCCCAGACAATCAGCTTACTAAGTTGGTTGGTAATGGCCATAACTTGTGTGTTAGACAGAAAATGATTCCAAGTTCAAACTCTGACAACAAACTGCTTTGTAATCTCAAAGACAGGATGTGTGTCTTTTTCAGTTTACTATGAGCTCAAAAAGCCATTATATGCCTTTTATTTATTTATTAATAAGGCACATCTGTAAATAACTACACATGCTGTCATTAAAAGAAAAGAACAGTTTGCAAAGAAGACAAGTCACTTTAAGCTAACCAACCAACAAGCCAAGCTTGTTTGGACAGTACAGTGGCTGATACAAACACATGTCCATTCACCTCGTTAGTAATTTGTCTTTGACGTACAGTTCCTATAAATGTTCTCAGGGCTAACGTCTGGATTTGTAATTGATCATACAAGATTACAAACATGTGTAAAAGAATGAGCTGTTCACAAACACACCTTGGCAAACACAGGATGAGGTCTAATGGGATAGCACGGCTGATCAGGGATAAGTGTTGCTCCTATCCTCACACAACTCCAATGGGATTATCCTGCTGCATTCAAGCCTTTGCCGTCATCACTGGAAATTAGCGCAATCTCACGATGGCATGTTGAAAGGTCACCAATCCTGACACTAGCTAGCCTCTACAAAAACTGTAGCCTGGCCAGCGTGCAGTAAAATCCTCCCAGATTAAGTTTGACCTCCCTGCCATAACACCATTACATCTCATGTCTGCAGACAATGTTTTGTCCTTAAGTACAGTGCGTCATCTTTGTACAGGATGCTTTAGCAGTAGAACTCGACCAACGTGCCTTCCCTCCTAACAGTGTAAGCTGAGTCATCAAAATCCTTATAATTTACCATAAAAACAGAAATACATTAAATATCTAATAGTCAGTTACACTTACTGTACTGCATTAACTTTCTTGAGCACAGAATTTCAATCAGGTCTACCTTGAGAATACCCTCTATGCCAAATGCTGACTTCATTTTATCTTGTAGTTCCCGTAGGGTTTTCAACCAAACATTGAAGATGCTCCGCTTCCTCTCCAAAGTGTTTAGGAGTAAATTGATACCATTGACTTCACAGAGCTGCCTTCAACCTTCTTAAAGCCGTATCATCCTTAAACTATTTGAAATAAATTCAACTGTGGCCATAACGAGATCTGCATGCCTAGAAATAATGCTTAAATACACTGTGGCATTTAAATTGTGGTCAGGATTATGGTGCCAAAAAACACCCTTTATATAATTCCTCCACCTCCACTAGTCTATCTGTTTGACATAAGGCAAGATGGTAAATGTATACATTTACCCAAAATCTGATTAGAAGATTATTCAGACCAGGACAACATCCTCCCATGTTAAAATAGCTGGATACACTTTTGAAGACAATGAGCTGTACTTCATAATTATACTGAGCTGCATTTGTGTACTCTTTGTTTATCTCAAGATTCTCTGTTGACTCCAAACACTGTAAGACTTTACAATTTGCATTAAGCAGATAAATGAATCCTGACTGCACCATGGACAGCAGCAGTACAAAATTAGCACAAAGGTCAGCAAAGTACTCAAAGGGATTTGTGAGTGGAGTTAAAAAGAGATCAAGCATGCCAACCAAGGTCCGAAGGGTTGTACATGTAGAAGCCAGTAAACAAAGAACATGTAGGCTTGCATTAACCTGTTTCTAAGTGGGCCATGTCTCAAGTGCTGAAAAAGGCTTACCACACTATATACACCACCATGGGATCATGACCTTTGATCCTGGGAGAATGTGATTGGCCAAGAGAAGCTTTGGCGTCATCATGAGTGACAGGCTGGCACATGGTGAATGAAAAAACTAGTGGTACAAATACAGGGAAGTGAGAGGTGCAGCCTCATCATTTGGGACTACGCTAGATAACTCTGCTGAGGAAGGACATAGGCAAAAGGAAACTTACAGAGTTTAAGGTAAGCTGGGTATCTGGAAGGCAAAGAAACATACACCTGGATGACAAGTTTGGTAGTTTTTCTTGCAACTTTAGTGTTTGGGTTTTATCTTTATGGAAGCATGGATCACGCTTTTATCATTTGCACCACACGTCCTACCCCAAAGCTGGGTCAAGAAGCTTTTACCCCTGTATAGCGAGAAAGCAGGGGAACATATTTTCAAAACAGGTGTGCCGGCCTTGTCTTTGAAGTGTGCACATCTATGGAAACCCATGGCCTACCCGAAATGAGTTCCAGACATACATGGAGTGCATCAAGAATTTAAACAAGCACCAGATGGCAGCTGAGAGGAATAAAGTAGAAGCTTAAGAGATGGGTGGATAGAAGATGGTAGAGCTGACTTCAGATTTTGTTCATTTCACCTCTCTTTTTTGTTTTTGCTCTTCTCATTGATTGTATCCCTCCTTTTGAATCTCACATTTTCTCCTTTACCCCTTTCAGTGGTTAGCACCAGGCCATCGGCCCTAACAGGGGGAGTTCTACTCATGCGAATCTCTGCAATGTATAGCTGAAATGTGAAAATATGTTTTTGTATGCAATGGCATACAAACTGTATCAGCTGTACAAACCAAAACAAATGGACTTGCTTTGGAGATGTGTGGCAGGCTTAGCCAGATGAAACGCCTGATGAAGTGTGTGCATCTTAGACATGCATGTCTTTAAGTCTGAGTTTTAAGGTTGTCCTAATGCAATTAAAGTTGACCTGGCTCTGCATCCTTCTTTGGAGCTTTACCTGTCATTAGCAGGAAGGTATTGACCCATTATGAGCAGGTTACTTTCCTCTGTTGGCGGCAGCAATTGGTATTTAATGATAATGACATTAGTGGTAGAGTTGGCGCCATATGCTTGTGGCTAATTTGGGCCAGAGTTTTAACAAGTGTGGATTTGTGAAGACTGCAGGTTCATTTGTATTTCATGCTAGCTATGTGATTTAATATAGTATAGTATAGTATAGTATTTTAAGGGACTAAATGTTAGATATCTAGAGTGTAAAGAGCCTTACCAAGACTGTTGTTAATCAAGGAAACAGAAACAAAGTCAAATGCAGTTGTATAGGTCATCAGTTACAGTGTGATCCTAATTCCTCAAAGTCCCCAATCCTCTGCAAATTATAAAATGTTATCTGATCCTCTTTACCTTAGATGTTTAAAGCGTTCAGGCGTCTCTCTGCCTTATTATCTTAAGACCTATGTGACACTGTGCAGGATATTACATAGTTCTCTATAATACTGTTTCTCCCTTTCCATCATAGGTTGGGCACCAAAATGGCACTTCTCCTGAGTCTTCTCTGCATCTTGTGCCTGGTTGGCCCAGTTCTCGGCCAGGACATGCCTTATGAGGAATATATGGCCCAGATCCAAGCCTGCCCTAAAGAGTGTCGCTGCCCCCCCAGCTTCCCTCGTGCTGTTTACTGTGACAACAAAGGCCTGAAGAGCATCCCCAAAATCCCTCCATACACATGGTATCTCTACCTGCAGAACAATCTAATTGAAGTGCTGTCAGCAGATGCCCTGCGTAATGCCACATCACTGCGCTGGCTGAACATAAACCGCAACAAAATCACTAGTGAGGGAGTGGAAGAAGGTGTCCTAAGTGCAATGTCTCAACTGGCGCACCTCTACATGGATGACAACCTCTTGTCTTCTGTGCCATCTCCCCTGCCAGCCAGCCTGGAACATCTACGTCTGTCTCGCAATCGCATATCCAAGATCCCTGCTGGTGTCTTCATTGGTCTGGATAAGCTTAACCTCTTGGACCTCCAAGGGAACAAGCTGATGGATGATGCTGTAACTGAGGTGAGCCTAAAGGGTCTAAACAACCTGGTACAGATCAACCTAGCCAAGAACCAGTTGAGTAGCATGCCTCTTGGCTTACCACCCACCACCACCCAGCTTTTCCTTGATGGCAACAACATTGAGAAGATCCCAGCGGGCTACTTCAAAGGTTTGCCAAAAATGGCATTTCTGAGGCTCAACCACAACAAGCTTGGTAGCAGTGGAGTTCCCAAAAATGTATTTAATGTCTCCAGCATGTTGGACTTGCAGCTGTCCCACAACCAGCTGACCGAAGTTCCCCTCATTCCCTCAGGTCTTGAACACCTTCACCTGGACCACAACAATATCAAAAGTAAGTCTGCAAGACATTTTCCCAATGCACCCACTGCTTTTTTTCTGATTATAGTGATTCATGCGTTGCATACAGTGTTTCTTTTATGCATCTCTAGAATAGGATTGTTTATCAGAGAGGGATTCTCTAATGTTATTGTCAGTCTTACAATGATTCCCTCTGTGTATTTACAGGTGTGAGTGGCTCCAATGTATGCCCTGTCGACATCGACACTGTGGACGACTCCATCAACGAAAGTGTTCCTAGACTGCGCTACCTCAGACTTGATGGCAATGAGATTAAACCACCAATTCCCAGGGATGTCATTCTGTGTTTCCGTCTCCTGAGGTCCATTGTCATCTAAAAATAACTATCAGCATCTTGTAGGCTAATTCTAATTTCCCACAAATTATGACCTGGTAATGTTGAAGCTGATCTGATCTGACACCTGTGCATCCATGCAACAAAAATGGTGACATGAGTAATATTTGCATGTTCAACTCAAACAGTTGACTCTAGTTAGCATCAACATTTGTGCTGTGACTTAGGAAAAAGTTCATTTCAGTTTCATAAGTCATTGATTATTCAGTGGAATTTTAATAAAATCTAAAACAATGTACAAAATTGACAAGGAACTGATTGGTTAGAAGTTTTATTGGGGTTGTAATCTGTTGACCACGAGTTGTGCCTTATGTTGATATAAACATCTGCATGTACAATGAAAATCTGATTATAATTTAGCATGATGGTGATTTAGACAGATAGGACAACAATATGTATTTTTGGCATGTGAAGCTCTTTGAGAACTCATTGTCATTATGCTTCTTTGAGCAGGAGGCAAAGCCCATGAATGTTTAGGCAAAATATCACTTAAATTTTTTTTTTTCTATTGTTTTCAGGAAAACCTTTGCTTTATATTTGTAGACTTGAAGCCAAATGAACGGTCTTGTGTTCTAGGTTTGTGGTCTTATTTCCTTTTTTAACTCTATAACTCTGTTCTACAACTATGCATATTTACTGTAGGTAATTTATTTTTATTTAATATTGGAGAAGAATAAGTAGAAATTTGACAGTCCTGTGAATATCCATGGCCAATATTCCTTAATGTTTTGTATACAAAAGAAATGTGAAAACTGTTTTTAAAAAATGCCAATACACTTTTTAATTCTGGTCATTATTTTTCTGAATAAACTGAGTATTTTATTTTAATTGTCTTCAATTTAAATAAAACTTCTGAAAAATAAACATGTGTCCCAGTGTAATTTTCTATAACTCTAGCACTAAGTGTAAATGTTTGCCACAATAATAATGATAATATCTGTGGTAGTTTGCAATTTTCATTTGCATAAGATTTTGTTGAGTTTTTCCAACAAATGTTATTTATGATATATTGGATAAAAACTTTAGGGAACTATTCTATCACTACAAAGTGAACATACAGAAGATCATCATCCACAGCTAAGTACCACACACAAACCAAGAGCTCAGATTGGTGTGCAAAGTCAGTATTCAGTCTGTCTCTCTCGTAGATGTGACCACCTGGTCTCAATTTTTACAATTTCATTATATGCAAAAAAAAACCCTAATTGAAATCATTTGATCAGCACAAGCTCCAGATTTAACACTACATGACAAATATACTATACTACTACATGAATGCTTCTACAGAGTGGACCAGCTCTGCAGGACTTCTCAGGCTCTTTACAATGCACTCTGTCATATACTGTGGGCATCAATCATTGTGTCAAGATATTTGGGGCAAAATTTAATTCAGTTCTATGCCTTTTGATAATGCTTGGCAGAAGAAAAAACCCTGAATATGAAACCCAGCTTATATGGCAGGTGCAGAAGGATTTCTGGCATTCTTACTACGTCCTTTTCCCCTCACTCATCAAAAGGTCTAGAGTTACCATGGGAGTGAGAGAGAGAGGCGGGCATGTTGAGACAAAATCGTGGCCAAATAAAACTGACACGGTAGAGTTAGCCGGTAGCATGTGTGTGTCCTTTTTTTGTTTTAACAATGAACACTGAAGACAGTCTGTGTGTAGCATCTATTTGAACGTGCACTGACATCAGTAAGATCAGCTCATTCTCCATCAAGTCAGACTGTTATGGTATCCCATGACTGAACTCAGATCTGTAGTTAAGGCAGAACTTTTAGCGAGTGACGGTGCAAAGAGAAAGCAGTTTTAACCAAAAGGGAGGGCAGAGGCCTTCTTCCAAGCGAGGACTTCCTCTCAGCACCATGCTAACAGGGGCTCCTCACAGAGGTCCCATTGTGTACAAGGGCCCCATGGATCCCCCATACATGAAAGCAACACATGCCAGAGTTTCACCTCAGGAAAAGGCAGACAAATATTTCTGTCTGATTGAGCCCCCCAAAGGCATTTTGCCATTGGGGGGCTTTTGCTCTCTCTTTCTCTCTGTGTCTGATGTCTGTATGTGTGTGTGTGGTGTTTGAAAGGGTCGTGCATGTGGGTGTGGGCTGTGTGCACTCCGAGTGACCAAAAGCAATCTGCTCTGGTCCAATCAGTCTCAGTGCCTACCTTCACACATAAGCAGCAGGGCACTCAGGTCTGCCAGAGCGTGCAGACCTACACATACACACACACCCACACACTTGTCACATTCACACGCACACCCACACACACCTTTCGCACACTCAACACACCCACCCTCCCTCTTCAAGGCACCCTGCGCGACCTCTCACCATTGGCCAAGTCCCGGAGCCCTCAGCATCTCCATCTCGGCTGAAGGGACCATTCGGGAAAGCAGGAGACAGAGGTAAGCGTACTTGGTGCTATCTTTCATGCAGGCTCAATGGCTCTCTGGTGCAGGGGATTAGGCATGGAGAGTGGCTTGACTTGGCCCTTCCAAAAACACTGCTACTCAGGGTTTGCACAGGAGCCACTTGACTAATTGGTTGGTGGTGCAGCTGCTTTATTTCCACCAGGGATTTTCTTTGGGAGCTTTGCGGGTGACTGAAATGTGGATGTATATGCTTTAGTAGTGTGATTCAGGTGTGAGTGTTAGACAGGTGTTCTTTGGATTACTGACAACCTTTCTGAAACTGGCATATTTTGCAGTTTTGACAGCTGCAGCTTTCTTTTGATGAAATATCTAATCAAGCAATATGAATTTTGCCTCCAGAGATGTCTTTTCTGCTAAAAATACCTCACTCCAATTTCAATGAGATTTTTCCAATGATAATCTTATTTGTTGTTTATATCAGTTTTATACATTATACATACATTATACATCTGTCAGAATAGAATTATGCGCATATAGTATTTTTCTTACTTTAAAAATGATGTGCAGGTTTATTGAGTGTTCTCTTTCAGTTTTAACCTTTTTCGTGATACAAATATACCGGTTACCAGTTTGTTCTGCAACCTGTAGCAAAGGGATGTCTGTCAAGTTTGTTTATGGCTTTTGAGGAAAAAAGGGTAGAATCACTGGATATCAGGAATGCCCAATGCGGAGCCAAGTATAACACAGGAGCAGTCCGGAGGCTACACTCATACACACATACACAGTTTACACACACTGTACACTGTGATGGCCTGTATAAAAGCACACCTCTGTCTTCAGTATAGTCCCTCTTTCAGAGTAACCATGCAGGATTTCACAGCCTCATGACAGAAAGTCTACATCAGTGGGGACGCTAACCAGTCAGCTCACCTTTTCTCAGGCGTCCACTCAGTTCAATGGAGATGTTTCCACGTCTATGACAATGGCAGGTTTGATTTGAATAATTAGTTTATCCCTCTGATATCAACAAAGATTAGATTCATGACTGAAATAACCCGTGATGGTGTGCTTTTTTTTGTTTTATATCTGTCCTCATCCCAAAAATAGCCGCAGTGGTTTCTCAATTTTCTGACTGCGAAAGATAGGTGTGTTGAGACAGAGTGTGCATCTGTGAGAGAATGTGTCCTTCCGTGTGTGTGAGTGTGTGTGTGTGTGTGTGTGTGTGTGTGTGTGTGTGTGTGTGTGTGTGTGTGTGTTTGAGCACCCTCACAGCTGAATAAGGCTTTTCCTTGCAGCCGTAACTCACTGCCATCCTGTCCACAAACCTCGGAGGAATTTGGAGTTTGAGTGCTGAGACAGGCAGCGACCAGGTCTCATAAAGGCCCTCTGTGAAGGGGTGAGGGGTCGAGTTAGCTCAGAAATCCCTCTCTCTCTCTCTTGTCCTCTTCCACTTAGTCTTTTCCTCACTCTCTCCATCTAACCCTGAGGGCCAACATCTTGTCCACGTCTCTCTCCATCTCACTCTTTTCTTCTCTTCTTCCCTTCCCTTGCTCTCCATTTCTCTTCCCTGGCCTTGAGGACTCTCTTTAAACTCGTGCTTTTTCATGGACTTGACATCGTCTGTCTCAGGCTTGGTGAGATGTAGCTACACCTGTGCTATGAAATCCCTCTCTGATATATGATTGATTCCTAGGCCTAATGTTGGTTCTGCCATCAAATAAAGCAGTAATTAACATCTTATTATTTTAATAGCACTTCCCACAAGGGATTCACATTATAGACATAATCAACCTTACTAAGCTTTGCAGATCTTTGCTGCTGAGGAAAGACCCTCTTGACTTCGTTCTCATTTCAAGTGTGTTGCAGAGTATTTTCCTGCATCTTTCTGCCAAAGCTTTTTTACTGTGATTTGGAAAAATAACTGAGACAACAACCAAAAACAAAGAAACTCAAATTAAGTGTTTCACAGTGGAAAATAAGCAACCCCAATCCCTTCTCCTTTAAATACATTTAAAACCATTATCTAAAAATCTACAATGTAGATTTATCTGAGGCGTTTAACCCTGTAGTAACCCTGTAGCCCTGTAGTCCAGTATCAGATCAACTCTGACTTCTAACCTTTGACATGCCACAGACGAGCACTGATTTAAGCCAAGATGGCTGCTCCCGGGAACAGTGACCGTCTGGCTACAATGAGACAAAAGGCCCTCATATTTCAATCCTGCAAGCTGTCTGCACCTGAGTAATGAATTCACTGATCTTAGTGATGTAACCTAAAGTCAAACACTAGTCTGTAGTACTATGGACTGGTTATGCAGCCAATATCCTGAACACATGCTTTGTTGAAGTGCACCTATGTGGAACTATATTTTAATACATAGCTCAATACATAGCATATCTGAGACAGTTCTTCTAACTTTGCCCCACATTTGGATTTCAAGACAGTTCTTTTCAGCACTCTAGTTCCTTTTTCAATTAAGCATTTTGCTAGATAATGACAATAAATAACTAACAAGGAAAACCTTGTGAGGTTTTAAGTTCCACGTAGATTTGTAAATCTTTGCATGGACGTTCCCCCTTTGATTTTACATCTCTCTGTACATGTCAAGGTGGACTATGAGGATGCTCGTGCGGCTCGTGCTGGGACTTGTCGTCCTCAAAGCGGTGGTGGCCAGCCCCAGATTTTCCCGACAAGTGGACTTGGACTCATACGACAGTGCCAACTATGATATGGATCTAGAAAATTCAAATTTGGAGAACCAGGATAACTATGACTACGAAGATGTGCTGACAATTGATGATCCTCAGGTAAGAAACTGTATCGTCAATCGGTAAAGACAGTTAGAGTGTAATGTTCACATCAATTGAGTGATCGCTGGAAAATTTGTGGAGACAGACATAAAATATTATTGATATCACATTAACATGATATACAACTCACATGAAGACTGTTACAATCCCAGAAGTCCCAATTTCCTTTAGATTTCACAAATCACAGTGGTGACAGTGTAATATTGGTGAATTGGCTGGTTTTGGATTGAGGTCACCAGGTTCATGGAGCAGACAGGCATCCTGCTGATTCCAACTGCGGCCATTTGAAAAATGGACAAACTGCTTTCCAACTTTATGCACTGTCATGGCCAAACTTTTTCACTTTTATACCTTGGCCCGCCACCATTGAGGTTGCATGCCCAAGAATCACCACAGGCTGAATTCTTCTGTATCTGGAGCAGAACTGAACATTTATTTATTTATTTTTGGTGTGGAGTCTGCTCAAAAGGAAACATGTTACATGGTCTAATGTTGACTTTACATTGTTATTCAGAAAATATATATTTTTACAGTAACAGAGGAAAAATACAGGAAACACAGATAGAGCATTATCTGCATGTATCATTTTCCCACACTGTCTGTAACATACACTTTCATCATAAAGCTGCTATGGGACAATTTCATTGTAAGTGTAAT